AAACTCCAGGACATTTGCATGTTGCACAACTGACACTCTTCACCCATTAAACAACTCCCAAGCCACCCTTTGACATTCTTTTTTATTTTATCTGAGACAAAGTTTCACTCTGTGGCCCAGGCTGGAGTGCTGTGATGTGATCTTGGCTCACTGCAACCTCCACCTCCCAGGTTCGAGCGATCCTCCTGCCTCAGCCACCCACGTAGCTGGGATCTCAGGTGCCCACCGCTGTGCTTGGCTAATTTTTGTATTATCATTAGTAGTAGTTGCAGCAGTAGTATTTGAGACAGAATTTCTCTCTTGTTGCCCAGGCTGGGGTGCAAGGGCGCAATCTCAGCTCAAGGCAACCTCTACCTCCCAGGTTCAAGCGATTCTCCTGCCTCAGCCTCCCAAGTAGCTGGGATTAGAGGCATGTGCCACGATCTCAGCCCACCTCAACCTCCACCTCCCAGGTTGAAAAGGTTCTCCTGCCTCAACCTCCCAAGTAGCTGGGATTACACGCACCTGCCCCCATGCCCAGCTAATTTTTGTATTTTCAGTAGAGTTTCACTACATTGGCCAGGCTGGTCTCGAACTCCTGACCTCAGGTGATCCACCGGCCTTGCCCTCAAAGTGCTGGTGAAGAGGGAGACCCAGGCATCTCAGATCAACTTCCCCTTTTCATTCCTAAGACTGCAAACTGAAACCCTTTTCATATGTAATTCCTAAGGCTGTAAACTGAGACCCTTTTCATATGTTAAACTATAAACCTAAGATTCTTCCATGTGTAACATCTAAAGTATAAGCCTATATAAAGAAGGAAGCTTCCTTTGTTAGGCGAGCTTGGATATTAGGCAAATATGCCACCTGGCTCCCGGCCGAATAAACTCCTTCCTCCAATATTCGGTGTCTGAGAGATCTGTTTCCCACGGCCGCTCCTGCAACATTTTTGTGCATTGGCCGGGAAGGGAGTCTGGGATAGCAGGTGGTGGGAAAAAGTCTCTTAGGTGGTTTGCCTAGCCCTGTGGAGCATCCTTGTGGGGGGACTCCTGCTCCTGGGCAGGTATTTGCCCGGTGGAAAAGCTTTGCCGGAGCGGAGCAGGGAGGCCCTGCAGTCCGGATCCACCCAGTGGCTGAACACCGAGGAGGAGTGAGCATTTGGGGAAGTCTGGACAACTGAATTTGGTAAGATTGTACCCGCGAAAGTAGCCCACCCCGTTTTGGGTGGAAGCGTGGCCTGATCACCCACGGGTGCCAGATGGGCACGTTGGAAGGTAGCTCTCTGTCGACTTGGAAGGAGAGCATTCGGATGTGTGTCTGTGTGTGGATGTGTGTCTGTGTCGTCGTACCCGGGAAAGTAGCCCACCCCGTTTTTGGTGGAAGCGTGGACTGATCACCCACGGGTGCCAGATTGGCACGTCGAAAGGTAGCTCTCTGTAACCTTGGAAGCTTTTGCTTATGGTTTTGAATGGAAGGAGAGCAATCGGATGTGTGTCTGTGTGTGGATGTGTGTCTGTGTGTGGATGTGTGTCTGTGTGTAGATGTGTCCAGCCGGACTCATCAGTCATAAAAGGTATTGGGCCCATTAGGAAGGGCCTCAGGCATCAAGCAATTTGTAAGAATTAGAGACAGCCACATAAGGCTGAGTGAAGAAGCCTCCGGGCATGTAAAAGGATTGAAGTGAATGTAAATCAGAGAGTGCTCTGTGCTGTGTCTTGCGAGTCGGGAACTGCTATGAGTGAACTAACAGTTTCCTAAGTGTGGGAATTGTTTCTTTGAACTGTTAATAAGGCTCACTCCCATAGTAAGCCCACCTCTTTAGAAACCATGCTGAAAAATTTCAAGAAGGGATTTAGTGGGACTTATAAAGTCACTATGACACCAGAGAAATTAAGTGTTTTATGTAGGGAAGATTGGCCAGCATTTAGGGTAGGTTGGCCCCCAGAGGGGGCCCTAGACAGATCCCTTGTCTCCAAAGTAAGGCCTGAGGTTATATACCACGAGCTAGAACACCTTGATCAATTTCCATACACAGACTCGTGGTTGCAGTTAGTGTTAAACGCTCCAAAGTGGCTTAAAGAGCAGGCAGCGACTGTTTTAGTAGCCGAGGGATAGACTGCTAGAAACCACCATCCCCCTCGCTGCCAAGAAATGTGGACTCCCAAGTCCAGGCAAATTCAGTGGCAGAAACAGGCAGGATTTGCATGTACAAATACTTCAGTTATTGGAAGTGGCTAACTGGGCGTTTGTAAACCAAGAGGCGATAAGCCAGAGGGAAAATCATAGGGAAAGGGAACGTCGGGCTCAACGGAAGCTGACTTGAGAGCTGCTGCTATGAGATGAACGCCCCCCAGAGTGTGGAAAAAGGGGGGTCCCTGGAAAGCCCCACAGTCTGCCCACCTGCGCCTGCAACGCGATCAGTGTGCATTTTGTCAAGAAATAGGACATGGGAAAATAATGCCCACAGTTAATGGGAGAACAGGGCGATCCTAAGCACGAGGATCCAGATAAAAAGTGAAGGGACTCTGTTCAATCTAATGGAAGGGCCACTGGATTGAAAGAGAGGGGGCCAGACTCATATGCCCCCAAAGAGCCCACGGTCCAGACGACAGCCCTGTAACCCCCATGGAAAAAACAGAACCAATATTGTTAGCGCTATTAAGGTGTTAAGAGAACAGATTTTCTTGTTCTTATTGGACTGCCCCTGCACCCCTTCTCTGGCAAAACCTGTTGTGTAAATCAAGGGCCATTATCCCATTCGAAAAGGAGACTCCCTGCAGCTAAAAATGCCTTAGGCAGGGGTCATCTAGGCTCTCACTGTACCTTGGGAAGGAGGGTGGAGCCTTCCTAGCCAGAAGCAGAAGACTGATATTATCACCCAGGCCCATGCAGGGCTTGCGTGGCTTTGCACCCAACTCATACACGCAGTTGGGATTATTGCCAGCAGAGGATAGTTGGTTCACTTAATTGGACTTAAAGGATACCTCCTTAGCATTGGACTGGCCTCAGAGAGTCAAAACAACTATTTGCATTTCAATGGCAGAAACCCAGAAGCAGGTGTAACCACTCAATACACCTGGACCCAGCTTCCCAGGGGCTCAGAAACTCTCATCATCCTTGGGAAGGCATCAGCCCATGACCGCACCCCAGAAGTTTCTTGCTTGCATGCTGCCCCGGTATGCTGATAACCTTCTATTGGGACACCCCACGGCAGTCGGGTGCGCAAACAAATGCCTTACTCCGGCACCTGGAGGACCGTGGGTATAAAGTGTCTAAAAGGAAAGCCCTGATTTGCCAAGAAGCAAATGCAGTAGCTGAGGCTTACCATCTGGAAGGGGGAATGCAGGCTAGACGCAGAGAGGAAGCAAGCCGCTTGCAGAGTGACAGAACCTGAGACTAAAAGGCAGGTGAGAGAGCTCCTGGGAGCAGTGGGTTTTGTAAATTGTGCATTTCCAAGCTTCGCAGTACTAGCCAAACCCCTCTATGATGTGACAAAGGGGGAGACAAGGAGCCCTTTGAATGGGGATCCCGGCAGCGTCAGGCCTACCAGGAACTGGAAACAAAACTAATGTCAGCTCCAGCTTTGGGGCTGCCTGATTTAACAAAGCCCTTCACATTATATGTGGCAGAAAGAGAAAGAGTGGCAGTTGGGGTCCTAGTCCAAACAGTAGGACCTTGGCCCAGGCCTGTAGCTTACCTCTCCAAGCAGCTGGATGGAGTTTCCAAAGGATGGCCCCCGTGCTTAAGGGCCCTGGCAGCAGCTGCTCTGCTGGCACAAGAAGCAGATAAACTAACCCTGGGACAGAACCTAAATATCAAGGCACCTCACGCAGTAGTGACTCTAAATGAATACCAGAGGGCACAACTGGTTACCAGATGTTAGGCTGACCAAATACCAGGGCCTGCTATGTGAAAATCCCCGCATCACCATTAAAATCTGCAACACCTTAAACCCCGCCACTTTGCTCCCAATGTCAGAGGGTCCCGTTGAACACAACTGTATTGAAGTCCTGGACACAGTCTATTCCAGCAGGCCTGATCTTCGGGATCAGCCATGGACAGTAGCAGACTGGGAGCTGTATGTGGATAGGAGCAGCTTTGTCAATCCACCAGGGGAAAGATGTGCAGGCTACGCCGTGGTAACTCTGGACACTGTAATCGAGGCCAAATCATTGCCTCGGGGCACCTCAGCTCAGAAGGCTGAACTCATTGCTTTAACTCAAGCCCTAGAGCTGAGTAAAGATAAGGCCGTAAAGGTTTACACCGACTCTGGATATGCCTTTTCCCGACTCTCCAAGTACGTGGAGCGCTGTACAAAGAGAGAGGCCTGTTAACTTCAGGGGGAAAAGAAAGAAACTTTCAGCATGAAATCTTTCAGCTGCTAGAAGCAGTCTGGAAGCCCCAGAGAGTGGCAGTCGTGCATTGCCGAGGACATCGGTGGGCCCACCCTTCTGTGGCCCTAGGAAATTCCCAAGCAGATTCAGCAGCTCGTACGTAGGGCAGCATCTGCACCCTACCGGATAGCAGTTACAGCCCCGCTGATTCCCGAGATCCCTGATCTAATACCTACTTACTCTAAGGAGGAAAGAGACTTTCTCCAGACAGAAGGGGCAACTGATTAAAGAAGGATGGATCCAACGGCCAGATGGAAAAAGAACAGCACCACAGCTGCAGGGGCCAGCAGTTGTACAAGCCGTACATGAGACCACTCATTTAGATCAAGAGTCGCTTGAAAAGATGTTGGGCCAGTGCTTTTACATCTCACACTTAGCAGCCTTGACCAAAACTGTGGCACAGCGATGCACTACATGTCGGCAACACAACGCGAGGCAGGGTCCGACTATTCCCCCTGGAATTCAAGCTTATGGAGCAGCTCCGTTTGAAGATCTCCGGGTAGACTTCATTGAAATGTCCAAGTGTGGGGGACATAAGTATTTGTTGGTCCTGGTGTGCACATACTCTGGGTGGGACTGAAAGGGCCCATGAAGTAACCTGCGTGCTGCTTCGAGATCTTATCCCTAGGTTTGGACTACCACTGCACATTGGGGCACACGGTGCACCAGCACTTGTGGCAGATTTCGTCCGGAAAACAGCAACGGCCTTGGACATCACCTGGCAACGGCACACTGCCTACCGACCTCAGAGTTCCGGAAAGGTGGAAAAATGAGCTGGACCATCAAAAAGAGCTTAGGGAAAGTGTTCAGGAAACAAGATTAGAGTGGGTGTGGGCACTTCCCTTGGGGTTATTCAAAATTAGAGGCACCCCCTTTAGGAAAAACAGGATATTCCGCTATGAAGTCTTATACCATAGGCCCCCTCCCCTACTCTGGGCACTCCTAGAAACTCCTCGGGAGTGGGGAGAGATTGAGTTAGGATGCTAGTCACCAGCTCTAAGGAGAATCGCTTAGGATCCTTCAACCTGAGTAAATAACAAATGTCCTGTAAGCCTTTTTCTCCCCAGCTCACCCTTTCTCACTAGGTAATCACGTGTGGAAAAAGGACGGGAGTACAGCCCCTCTAAAGCCACAATGGAAAGGACCTCAGACCTGAACCTGACCAATCCCACAGCGATGAAGGTAGAGGGAATCCCAGCCTGAATCCACCTCAGCCGTGTAAAAACCAGCAACAGCTGAGACTTAGACCAAGGCAAGGACTGCAGAATCACCTTAAGAAGGACAACAAGCCTTGCTCCAGCCACATCCCGGAAGCTGGCTGCTCCACGCACGGCCGAAGCATGAGGAGATTTATTGCGGAACTTGTTCTTCTTAATATTTGGACTTGCACAGTAGGAACATTAACTAATTTTGAAGAATGCCCTCAGTATGTACACCAGGTAGGACATAAAAGTTCCTCTTTTTTCCTGCAGTTCTTATAAATGTACAGGGACACAGAAGGGAAACTGTTTCTATAATGGTACTCAACTAAGGTGTGTAATCCATGAGATGGACAGGTAGCTGTGTCATAGGCATCATTAAGCCTTCTTTCTTCCTATTATCTGTTAAGATAGGTGAGCTGTTAGGGCATTCAGTATACTCAGCTAGGGAGAAGAGAGACCTGAAACTAGGGAACTGGACAGATGATGAGTGGCCACCGGAGAGAATTATTGAGTACTATGGGCTGGCCACATGGGCTGAGGATGGCTCATGGGGATACCGGACCCCTATTTACATGCTCAACCAGATCATCCGGTTGCGGGCTGTTTTGGAAATACTAATGAAACGGGCAAAGCTCTGTTCCTCTTGGCCCGACAAGAAACTCAAATGAGAAATGCGATTTATCAGAACCAACTGGCCCTAGATTATTTGCTAGCAGCCGAAGGAGGAGTCTGGGGAAAAATTCAGTCTAACCAACTGCTGTCTGCACGTAGATGACCAGGGGCAAGCAGTGGAGGATATTGTGTGAGACACGACCAAACTGGCACACGTGCCTGTACAGGTGTGGCACGGATTTAACCCTGAGTCCCTCTTTGCAGGTTGGTTCTCATCCTTGGGAGGATTCAAAACCCTCATCATAAGTGTTATAATAATAATAGCTGTTCGTTTACTGCTCCCTTGTCTACTGCCCCTGTTCCTTCAGATGATTAGGGGATACATCACTACTGTAGTTAGCCAAAAAGTGACATCACAAGTGTATTATATGGAACATTATCAGTCAGTTTGGTCAGAAAATCTGGAAAGTGAGAATGAAAGTGAGACCTCTCACTAATATTATAAAGTGGTGAGGGTCTCAAAGGGGGGAATGAAGAGGGAGGCCCAGGCATCTCAGATCAACTTCTTCTCTTCATCCCTAAGACTATAAGATTCCCCTTTTCATTCCTAAGACTGTAAACCAAAGCCCTTTTCATATGTAATTCCTAAGACGGTAAACTGAGACCCTTTTCATATGTAATTCCTAAGACTGTAAACTGAAACCCTTTTCATATGTAATTCCTAAGACTGTAAACTGAGACCCTTTTCATATGTTAAGCTATAAACCTAAGATTCTTTTTTTTTTTTTTTTTGAGACGGAGTTTCGCTCTTGTTCCGCAGGCTGGAGTGCAATGGCGCCATCTCGGCTCACCGCAACCTCCGCCTCCTGGGCTCAGGCAATTCTCCTGCCTCAGCCTCCTGAGTAGCTGGGATTACAGGCACGCGCCACCATGCCCAGCTGATTTTTTGTATTTTTAGTAGAGACGGGGTTTCACCATGTTGACCAGGATGGTCTCGATCTCTTGACCTCGTGATCCACCCGCCTCGGCCTCCCAAAGTGCTGGGATTACAGGCGTGAGCCACCGCGCCCGGCCTAAACCTAAGATTCTTCCATGTGTAACATCTAAAGTATAAGCCTATATAAAGAAGGAACCTTCCTTTGTTAGGGAAGCTTGGATATTAGGCAAATATGCCACCTTGCTGCCAGCCGAATAAACTCCTTCCTCCAATATTCGGTGTCCGAGAGATCTGTTTCCCGCGGCCGCTCCTGCAACACTCCAGCCTCTGCCTCCTGAGTAGCTGGGACTGCAGGTACCCACCACCATGCCCAGCTAATTTTTTTGCATTTTTAGTAGAGATGGGGTTTCACCATGTTGCTCAGGATGGTCTCGATCTCCTGGCCGTCTGATCCGCCCGCCTTGGCCTCCCAAGGTGCTGGGATAACAGGTGTGAGCTACCGCGCCTGGACAATAAATTTGTTTTCTTTATAAATTATCCAGTCAGGCCAGGCACGGTGGCTCACGTCTGTAATTCCAGCACTTTGGGAGGCCAAGGCGGGTGGATCACAAGGTCAGGTCAGCTAAGATGGTGAAACTCCATCTCTACTAAAAATACCAAAATTAGCTGGGAGTGGTGGCGAGCACCTGTAATCCCAGCTACTTGGGAGGCTGAGGCAGAGAATCACAGAGTTTGCACTGAGCCAAGATTGCACCACTGCACTCCAGCCTGGGTAACGGAGCAAGACCCCGCCTCAAAAAATAAAATAAAATAATAATAATAAATTATGCAGTTATCGGCATTCTATTATAGCAACAGGAAACAGACTCAGGCACCCTCCTCTCCCTCTCAGCTAGAAGAAGCAACCTAAGTCCAGAGGCTGTTCCTTCTCTTGCGCTATCCACATGGTCTCAGCCTTGAATCCAGGGACACAGTGCTGCCACCAAACTCAAGTCAGGTGTCCACAAAACTGTCCAACCCTTAGGGGAAGTAAGAGCAGCAAGGAGATCCCAGCAAGGAGTTCCTACAGGGAGGGCTCCAGAGGCCCCATGAGAAAGGGAACTTGCCCCAGGGGCCTTCCTGTTCTGAGGGGCATTGTGGGTGTGGGGTTGGACCTTGACTGAACTCTGGTTCAGTTTTTCCTGGCTGGGGGACTTTGGGCACACCATTTAACCTCTCTAGCTGGCAGTTTTGCTATCTATAAAATGGAAAGAACCAAATAAACCCACATTTCCGGGTTGCCGTGAACTTAATGAGCCAGCCGGTTACAGTTCCCCTTCCCAGAGTCCCAGGCCTTCCCATTGCCTCTGCACCTGTGAAGATTCAAGTCAGGGCTGGGCACAGTGACTCATGCCTGTAATCTCAGCATTTTGGGAGGCTGAAGCAGGCGGATCACCTGAGGTCAGGAGTCTGACACCAGCCTGGCCAACATGGTGAGACCCCGTCTCTACCAAAAATACAAAATTAGCTGGGTGTCATGGAATGCGCCTGTAGTCCTAGCTACTTGGGAGGCTGAGGCAGGAGAATGGCTTGATCTCGGGAGGCAGAGGTTGCAGTGAGCCGAGATAGAGCCATTGTACTCCAGCCTGGGCGACAGAGTGAGACTCTGTCTCAAAAAAAAAAAAAAAACTCTAAAGATGAAAAAGTTACATAGGCAGGAGGGCATGTGAGTTCTAGCAGAGGGACTGGCATCTGCAGAGCCCCTGTGGTAGAAGATGCCCCAAATTCACCTTTTCAGGAAGGTGGAATAGAGGCAGCCTTTTCCCATTTTCTTCTTCCAAATAACCCCTCCCACTGACGAACAAGAAACAGAAACTCCATCTTCTAAGAAAGTATTTCTGACCTTAAAAAAAAAATTAAAAATATTGTCAATATTGTAGAAAAATGTCAAGTGCTCCTGATTCCGATACGGTTAAATAACAAAATTATCGAATAATTTTGTATTTTCTCTACTTTTAGAACATGGCCTCCTCACACCAGCTCTTTTTTATTTAAGTTTTATTTTATTTTATTTTTTAAAAGCCAGCCAAATTTAGTAGTGGGGGGTTGTATACCAACTTTAGTGACACTAATGTTAATAAGTTCTGGTAACCCACTTCCATCAGACCAGCCTACATTTTATTTATTTATTTATTTTTGAGATGGAGTCTCGCTCTGTTGCCCAGGCTGGAGTGCAGTGGTGCAATCTTGGCTCATTGCAACCTCCGCCTCCCGGATTCAAGCCACTCTTCTGCCTCAGCCTCCCGAGTAGCTGGGAGTACAGGCACGTGCCACCGTGCCCAGCTAATTTTTGTATTTTTAGTAGAGATGGGGTTTCACCATGTTGACCAGGCTGTTCTCAAACTCATGACCTCAAGTGATCCACCTGCCTCGGTCTCATTATAGGTGTGAGCTCGGCCAGGCCGGCTCTTTCTTAGAGTGCTAGCTGCTGGAATTCTAATGCCTGAACCTTAGAATTAACATCTTCCTAATAAACAACCACTATGAAATAAACCTCAAAAGGCCAAATGCGGTGGTTCACGCCTGTAATCTCAACACTTTGGGAGGCCGAGGCAGGCGGATCGCCTAAGAATGGAAGTTCGAGACCAGCCTGACCAACATGGAGAAATCCTATGTCTACTAAAAATACAAAAATTAGCCAGGCATCGTGGTGCACGCTCGTAACCCAAGTTACTCCAGAGGCTGAGGCAGGAGAATCGCTTGAATCTGGGAGGTGGAGGTTGCAGTGAGCTGAGTTTGTGCCACTGCACTCTAGCCTGGGCAACAGAGTAAGACTCCATCTCAAAAAGGAAGAAAGTTCTTGTTTTGACAACTATTATGTCTGATTCTTAAACTCATTTTTAAATGGAGAATAGCAACTACTTCTGATTTTTTTTTTTTAACTTCAAGGGAGAACGGATACCTCCTCATCTAGTTAAGCCTTTTTTTTCTTTTGAGACAGAGTTTCACTCTGTTGCCTAGGCAACAGAGTGAAATGACATTTCTTAGGTACTTCTAAGCTTTTTTTCTTTAGAGGGGTGGGTCAAATCAGAAGATGATCTTGTGGTAGGTTAGCTAAAAGAAATCTGTGAAATCTCCTCAACTGCGTGCTGTGGCTTACGCCTGTAATCCCAGCACTTTGAGAGTCTGAGACAGGTGGATCACTTGAGGCCAGGAGTTTGAGACTAGCCTGGCAAACATGGCGAAACCTTGTCTCTACTAAAACTACAAAAATTAGCTGGGCATGATGGTACACGCTTGTAATCCCAGCTACTTGGGAGGCTGAGGCAGGAGAATCGCTTGAATCTGAAAGGCAGAGGTTGCAGTGAGCCGAGATGTTGCCACTTTGCTCCAGGCTGGGTGACAAAGCGAGACTCCATCTCATTAAAAAAAGAAATCTTGCCGGGCGCGGTGGCTCACGCTTGTAATCCCAGCACTTTGGGAGGCCGAGGCGGGTGGATCACGAGGTCAAGAGATCGAGACCATCCTGGTCAACATGGTGAAACCCCGTCTCTACTAAAACTACAAAAAATTAGCTGGGCATGGTGGCGCGTGCCTGTAATCCCAGCTACTCAGGAGGCTGAG